CGATGATCATTCTGTTGATGGCGTGGATGGCCGCGGTGCGTCCGACGAGACGGATGCGAGGAGGGCGGACTGTGACAGTGGGCCAGGTTGCGCGTGAGGCCCAGCGGCCGACGATGCGGACCTTAGGCTTGATTGCCTTGGAGCCGGCATGAGCGTTGCTCCGTGCGGCGGCGGCGGACTTGCGAGCGGTGATGATCTTGATGACAGTCATGTTGGAGAGATGTTTGTATGTTGTTGGGTATGGTCGAGTTATGTCGAAGACGACAAGGTTGTATCTTGGACTGGAGGCACAAGAGTGCGCGCGACACAGATGAAGGAGAATAGAGACAAAATGTTTAGGCGGGTGAGAGAGGAGCCCAAAGACCTGGGGCGGGAAGGAGGAATATATAATCCAGCGAGGGAAATAGAGTTCGCGGAACGAGAGAGATACACGTTGGTCGTCGACAGACCAGTTCCAACGTCACTGTGTACCTTGGGCGGACCGACCGTGTCGAGGAAATCGAACTAGCACCTGATTATGTTCAGGTACTGAATATGTCTCTGCGAATTTGTTGAGTGGTTGCGTTGAAAGCGGACTTTCCCCTTTCTAGTTGGACTCTGCTTGTATGACACAAAATCGATGTTGTTTCATCAGAGCAAGAAGACTGCGAGATGGGCGAGAATTGCAGAAGATGTTGTAGATGGCTGAACGTGTGAGATTCCGAGAGGTGCTTGAGGAATTTCTATTTAGCCCGAAATTCAGTGCTGTGGTCAGAGCCTTAATGGAGAGAGATCGGAGAAAGGTGGTCTGACCATGGAATATTCGTTTGCTACACCGATGAATGGCACCTTAGCAACGAGCTTGGGCGTGTTATGACTAGTCTCTACCAACTGGCAACGACTACCTGGGTCACCGGCCCCGACGATGTGTCATCCAATAAGCAGCAGCTCATATCAATGAAGTAGCGATATTGTTCTTCAACAGACTCATTATTAGCTAGCTATGCACGGTGTACTCAGCTGAGCATGTTACTTTGAAACGAGGAGATCGTGACCTAAAGCGGAATGAGCGTGTGACAGTCTCCAGCAGTTCACTTATGAGATGAAATTGATGTCTGTGACACTTTAAATTTAATAATAATGGTCTACGAGAAGGAGGCTATGAAAATGAATGGTGTTCTATGTATTGGATGTTACCTATCGAATCGTTGAGGCATCGTGGGTGGTGTTATAGTACGATTTCTGCTAGATCGAACTGTTTCGTTTAAGCGTATTCCAGTCAGTCTTTTCTTGACCAATGACACACGCTATAAAATGCACTTATTGAACCATATTGACCACGCGCTGATGATGACTAATATTGCGAACAGTCTCCAGTGACACTCCTCAATTGTGCGAGTAACGACCCTTGAGCGCTGTTGAAAGTATTTGGGCGTGATGAACGATACTAATGTTCAACACCTGGTGCTCCTGATTTTGACAAAAAGGATTTGTGCGCTGTTGGCTGCGTTAAAGAGCACAGAAGGCATCGTCACTGACCTGAGCAGCATAGCCATCACGCAGCTCCCTTTCAGAGCAAAAGGACAATGGGGGTAACCATACTTGCATCATCTGTGATAGTTCTCAAGAGCAGTTGAATTTGATCGATAAAATCATAAGAATGCACATCATGAAGTTGCAGTATTGCGGCAGGCATATGCACATCCCACTCCAGATTCCCAGACAACTTTCTCATTTCACATCACTATCATGTCCAGTTATATCAAATGCCTCTGCTAATAATTCTCAGGTATCTCATCAGTCGTTTTCACGCCTTAGGCTGTTCCTCTGCTGGCTTCTGCTTGATGACGTCGTCGGGAGCGAAGTTCAAGCTCACTCCGTTGACGCAATGCCTCTCATCGGTGGGAGTGGGATATCCCTCGCCCTTGAAGACGTGGCCAAGGTGACCACCACAGTTGGAGCAGACAATCTCGGTGCGAGCCATGCCCCAAGAGCGATCCTCGTAGCGGGTGACGGCACCGGGGATGTTGTCGAAATAAGCGGGCCAACCGCATCCGGACTTGAACTTGTGGTTGGCCTTGTACAGGGGTGCGTCGCATCCGGCGCAAGTGTAGACACCGGTCTCGGTGAACAGCTTGTCGAACTTGTGAGAGCCGGGCGCTTCAGTGCCCTTCTCACGGAGAACGCGGAATTGTTCTGACGTGAAGTTAGAAAAGGAGTGTCTGTGCGCAGATCGTTACTCAGCGTGGTCGGGGTTCGGCAGCTCACCTTTGCTCAACACTGCGCGCCACTCGTCGGGGGTTCTCTTGTCGGGGTAGGAGGCCTTGCTCTGGTCGCTCGAAGAGCTGGAGCCAAAGAAACTGCCAATGCCCATGGTTGCGAGATATCCGGAGTTTGGTGGGTTGATTTGGTGCAAAGCGGGCGCGGTCGCTCGAACTCGGGGCAAATTGGAGAAGGCGTAGAAGGTTCGCAAGACTGTCGCGAAAGGAGGCAATCTCATGAGGGCTGTGAATGGATGCGATGTGATGCAATGGATGAATGTCTATGTTGTTGAGAGATAGGGGATGCTTTAAGTAATGCGTATGCTGTAGGCATCAAATCAGCGTATTCCATAAAGCGGGAAGTGATGACAGTTTCGATTCCTAGATCACTTGTTTGGCGTATTTGGAATGTTCGTCATAGTGTCTATGACGCAGTTCATACTGTCGAGACCTCTATTTCCTCGCTGATTTATATGACAATGGAGCTCTGTCACAGTGTGCGTCATCCCTTCAGAGCTGCGCCGCGACATGATGAGGAATCTCGGAGAGCAGGACCCCTCCAACAGCCATCAAGACCCCCCCCTGCTGCATGGCGTCAGAGAAGAGGACTCCACTGTACGGCAACAACGGGCTTCCACCATGATGGAATTATCATCGGAATTCGATGGTTCTTATCTGTCGACACGGACCCGACCCTAACGATAAGAACAGCCCGGATTATCACATCGAGCGAACGTCCGCTTCAGCCTCCAAAAGGCCATGACAGTCATCCGACGCTTTGTGGACCGCAATTGGGGCTGTTTGGGGTCAAGTCTGGGGTACGTGCACCGATCCTTCACTGTCCGCGAGTCGGCAAGCCTTGAAGGTCAGCGCTGGGTCTCACACCGTTGCCCCATCATCTCGGCGCCAGGCCCACTGAACCTCGGCATCTTCTGTCAAGTTGCAGTCAGGATATACAATCCCACTGCTCTTCGCTCCCTTTGTAATAAACCAGCTACATAACATCTCTCTTCATCCCACTTTACTCACGATCTATACCTCTTCCCCTACAAGAGGCCGTTGTTGAGAGCTGTTCCGCCCAGTTTAGCGTTAATTTCGTCCATCTGTACATCCTCTAGCGTTGTCTGGATAGAAGAGCAGCTGAAAGCAAGGTTCATATTCGCCGAGATGCCTTTCGATACAGAGCTCACCCGCAAGCTGGGTATTAGGATACCCGTCGTGCAAGGTGGCATGCAACATGTTGGCTACGCAGAGATGGCTTCTGCAGTCTCCAACGCCGGCGGTCTGGGTATCCTCACAGCCCTTACTCAGCCTACGCCCGAAGACCTGCGCAAAGAGATCCAGAAGACAAGAAAGATGACAAAGTACCCGTTCGGTGTCAACATCACACTTCTGCCTGCTCTGAACCCTCCAGACTACGGTGCCTTCGCTCAGGTCGTCATTGACGAGGGCATCAACATCGTCGAGACCGCTGGTAACAGCCCCGGTCCCGTGATCAAGAAGCTGAAGGCGGCTGGTGTGATCATCTTACATAAGTGCACCACTATACGGCACGCACAAAGCGCCATCAAACTTGGTGTTGATTTCTTGTCAATCGATGGATTCGAATGTGCTGGGTGAGTTTATCCGACGTCAATCCACTTATCGCGTATACTAATATTGCAACAGCCACGTTGGTGAATCCGACATCACAAACTTCATCCTACTCAGCAAGGCCCGACAGACTTTGAAGGTGCCCTTCATTGCCTCTGGCGGATTTGCTGATGGACAAGGTCTTGCGGCGGCCCTGTGTCTTGGTGCCGAGGGTATCAACATGGGAACGCGGTTCATGTGCACAGTCGAGTCGCCAATCCACCAGAAGATCAAAGAGGAGATCGTCAAAGCCCAGGAGACAGACACTGCCTTGGTCATGCGCCGATGGACCAACACGACGCGGTTATACCGCAATAAGGTCACAGATGCCGTTGTCAAGATTGAGCGTGACAGCAAGACGGGCGAGTTCGCCGAGATTGCACCCTATGTCAGCGGACAGCGCGGTCGCCAGGTTTTCATCAACGGCGATCCGGAGTATGGTGTCTGGACTGCGGGTCAGGTCATTGGATTGATCCATGACATACCTACTTGCGAGGTGCTCGTTCAGAGGATCGAGAAGGAGGCTGAGAAGACACTGACGTCTAAGCTGAGACTAGCGAAGCCCAAGTTGTAGACATAGAGCTTTGGTTTTCTTCTGCATTGTACTGAGCGCTATCATAAATGCTTGTTTCCACCACATCAGTCTTGGTTCAAGATATCCTTGCAGAAATTCCGTTTCGTATTCACGGGCCTCAGTTCTTGTGTTTCTGCCCACTTTCCAATTTATCCTTTGACTCCATCATCGTAACGTTTTCCTCGGTTATGCTCAATGTGAATTATATAAGCAAGTGGAACAACGCGACGAAGCTACCGCTTCCGCATTGTCGATTTCTATCGACCAGTACAACGAACGCATGTCATACTATACAGAAATTTTCAAGCCAGAAAGAACTGGCGCATACCTTCCAGGAGCAGATCCAAAAGAGAGAGTCCCTGGAAAGAACTTGAAACCAAAGAAGAGCAAAAATACAGGAACGGCGCAGCGTACATTCGGCCTGAAAATACTGTTTACCTTTTCCATGCGCAAAAGAAGACTCAGAAACTTACTCGGAGACTTATAAAACAACAGCAAGAAACTCGCAGAAATATATAACCGCTCAAAAAGGGGAAAGAAAAGGAGAAAAAAATTGCGCCCGCCGGGATTCGAACCCGGATCTAGTCCCTGATCCCTCACCGGTTCAATTTGTTGAATTGGTGGAGAAGCGGGACCTGCCTTGACCATTAGACCACCGGCGCTTGTTGATGGCATTGGCTCTCAAATCTGGATATATGAAGGACCGCGTGTGCGTTTTGTGTTTCTAGGACGTGGATAAGGAGTTGTTTATCGGACGTTGGAACTTGTTTATAATTGAGGGTATTCGTGGCTGGTTTGGGGGGGGGCTACTGATGACTTGTAAGCGTTTCAGGTCGTAAATGCGGTGGTTCCGAGTAAGCAGAGCTTCTTGAATCCTCGTGTGTGTGATGGAATGTGTTTGAATGTGTGTTGCTCTTTTGTACTGTCGGTCGTAGAAAACTAGCAATAATAAAGCCGATAGCCAGTTCGGTGTGGCTCTGTTCGAGGGGGCAGTCAGGAATCTATGACGTCTCTACACCGCGATCAGGGATGCAATCATTCGAGTGTTGATGGATGCCTACGTACTTTTTCAAGGGTAATACGATATAGGTCATTATACATCACGAGGTAAGGATGAGGATGGTATATGGTGACCATGTAAATTGAATATGCATTGCCAATCTGGCAGGCCGGCCGTCCTATTTCATATAATCTAACAACGCATAAACACTATAAACGCCGAAGTAAGCAGTCTAGCCAAGCCAGGTACTCCCTACCCAACCTCATGGCTCTAATCCTTTGTGGCAGTCATTCCCAACCCATTCGCAATTCGTGATACTCCAACAGCTCCTACACCTCAACGCCTCGTCTCGCCATTCCTCATCATCATAACACCGAAAATCATCATGCTCATCCCTCTCGCAAAAAGTTACCACCGCCGTCCATAAACAGCACTCTCCTTACTAACCCCCTGTCTCGGCCTCCCCTTGGACCTCAAAGCACCAGCCTGGTCGCGGAAAGCCGTATAAACATCCTCCTCCCCGTCATCAGCACCACGACCACTCCCCCCGACATGCTTGAACAAATCAAGCATTTCATTCAGTCCAAGCTTAAGCGCCGTCTTCTTGGCACCTCCCTCAATAGCCGTAGCTGCCAGAAGTCTCTTCTTCTCCTGGAGTTCCAGAATCCGCTCCTCAACCGTCTTCTCGACCGTGAGTTTGTAGACAATGACATCAACCGTCTGCGTAAGTCGATGCACGCGATCAATAGCCTGTTCCTCCACAAACGGGTTCCAGAACGGCTCGAGGATGACGACGCGCGACGCAGCGGTAAGATTGAGACCCAACGCACCACAACGCAGAGAACACAGTAGTACGCGCGTGTTCTTGTCGTTGCGTAGACTGTGGAGCGCGGCTTCGCGGGCGTCGTTCTTCATCGAGCCATCGTAGCGCACGTATTTGAGTCCTTCCTTTCGGAGGAAGGGCTCGACGAGGTCAAGCATCGAGGTGAACTGCGAGAAGACGATGAACTTGTGCTCCTGGACTTCTTTGTGCAGAATAGTAGTCAGTTGGCGGATTTTCGCTGAGGCTAGAACATGCGGTACTTTATGGCGCCTGTGTGCGAAGGCCTCGTCACCACTGTCTGAATCGTCGAGCTCCGACTCGGAAATGCCTTCATCACTTTCCGAGTCTTCTTCGTCTTCCTCCGAATCGCCCTCGCTGACCGAGTCGGTTTCCTCGTCTTCAGACGACTCAGCCCCCTTCTTGGGATTGATCTGCGTTTGGGAAAGCATATCCGTTAGAGATTCAAGATCGTCGTCGTCAGAATCCGACTCCTCTATAGCTTTTCGTAGGTCTTCCGGCTTTGTGTCTTCTCCATCGTTGACGATAAAGCTGTCCAAACGACTACCATCTTGCGACTCTTCCTCGTCGGAGTCTTCCGTATTGATAGTCTCACCCTCGCCCTCTGCATTCTCATCATCTGTACCTCCCGCTTTGCCCAAGCGCAATGGTCCTTGCTCATCGCCAGAGTTCAGCCATTCTCCCTCTTCCTCTTCATCATCACTATCAATGATGGCGCGTCGATTACGAGGTTTTCGTTTGCTGAACGCGACAGCTTCGGTCTCCTCTACCACTTCCTCAACTTTCTTGACAACCTTTTTGACAACTTTCTTCTCCTTGTTCTGCTTCGGTCTGGTCCTTGTCTTCGGAGCCTTGAGATCTCCACCTTCTTCATGATACTTGAAATACTGCAAGTCCTCGAAACAGGCTTTGCACTTATCCGATCCAGGTTGACGATGCTCGCGATCAAGTTCCCAACCGCAGATTTCGCAGTGCTTAGCTTCAACATCGAGTCCGCCGAGCAGGTCGGCAAGAGCATCAACGTCTTCATCAATCTTCTTTGGTCTGGATTCCTCTGACAAGGCGTCTTTGTCCTTCTCAAGTTTTCCCTCTACGAGCTTCGGATGATTGCAAGCCTGTCTCAATCGCAAAAGCAGCACGAGAGCACTGGCGTAGTTGACTTTGCCGCGCATCATAGCTTCCAGACTCTTGTCTGTCCGTTGCTCTAGACGGTCATAGAACCGGCGTTCGGCCGGCGCAAACTGAGCAGAGATAGCGACGACTTTGCGCTCTGTTACCTTGAAGCCTGAAGTGGCGCTCTTCTCCTCGTCTGTGCCTTCGCCCTGACTTGGTCCGGTTCTGAGAGCTCCGGCTTCTTTCAAGATATCCTTGGTCCTGCGCTTCATGAAGCATTGCAACACACTATGAAGACGTCGGATAGCGACTTCTCCCCTGCCGTTTTTCATCGGCAGCTCGAAGTGTTCTCTCCATTCTCGCAAATCGTCGTAAGGCTTGATTCGCAGAAATTTGACGAGACTCTGTAACTCATCGAGATTATTCTGCATAGGCGTACCACTTAGGCACCATCGATATACACTTCGCAGTTCATAACATGCTTTTGTGGCTTTCGCATTCCTGTTCTTGATTGTGTGTGCTTCGTCGAGAATGACTCTATACCAATGCAAGCCAAAACACCCTGCCTTGAGCTTGTCGTTGGAGTGACCGTGCTCCGACACAAGGATCTGGTATGTAGTGATGACGACGTCGTATCGACGGAGATCCTCGAAACGCTTTGTGCGCTGGGGGCCATGGTGGACGAGAACCTTGAGTCTGTGGGAAGTCTCGACCTTCTCTTTGATTTCAGCTTCCCACTGGCGAATCAAGGCAAGAGGCGCAACTACTAAAGTCGTTTTCTCAACACCTTCGTGTTTACCATCTGGTTTAGCGTTTGTGAGGATAAGGGAGATGGACTGGAGGGTCTTTCCCAGACCCATGTCGTCCGCGAGAAGACCGCCTTTGGGCACTCTACCCTTCTTGACGGGGCCTAACTCTCGATTCCTCATCCATTCCACACCTTCGACCTGGTGGGGCAGTAAGCGGACTTTGAGCCCTTCTACCTTAGACTTGTCCTCGGTTGGGGCCTCGTTGGCGACCTCTTTCTCTTCTTTTTCTTCGTCAAGGGACCCTTCTAGCAAGGCCTTGATATCCGAGGCAGCCTTCTTGGGGTCGACATAATCTGCATATACGCCTGGCTGTGTATAGCTCGAAACTGGCGGGCGGTCAACAATCGTAATAGGATTGTTCTGTGAGCCCATAGGTGCGGGTTTGGAACTGAACAAACTTGGGGCGGCTTTTCTGTCTTTGTAAGTGGGCTGTAGCGGGCCATTAATGCGCTGCGGCCGATGATGTTCTGGACGGTGGCCCCTGGGCTGTATGAAAAGATGGGCGTATTTGTCGTCCATACTGTTGCCTCCTGAATACACTCTGCTCTTAACAGCGGGTTGGCCGAGCGGCGGATATATCGATGACGAGCCCGGATTTGAGAAGCCCGGAGTCTGAGATGTGGAAGGTTGGGGTTTGCTGGTAGAGGGCCCGGATTGTGGAATTATGTTGCCGTTCGCATCGCGAAGCGGTGGCTTCGGCGGAGTCTGTTCTTGCACCATTGTGTGATACCCGAAGAGTCGAGGTGCAGTGAGAACGTCTGCCGGCTGTCCGTTTGTTGTCGCGGGGTTGCGGGGACCTGGATTTAGGCGATGATGGGTCGTTTCGACGGTGTTGTGTGTTTTAGACTTGTGGAAAGTCGGCGACTCGATTGAGTATAAGTTATTCCTAGGTTGGAAGCCGTACTTGTCTCCTGGCTTCCTATTTGCAACAGGCTGATCAGCCGCGAAGAGGCAGCAAGGGCAGTGTTATGTTCGCATATAAGGTACTGACCGCATGTGCGCGCAAGGGACGTAGCACGCTAAGTATTCTGCTTGTGGCAATTGCAAGAGACAGTCTCAATTGAGATATAAAGCAGGACTGATGCTGTCAAGTACGTATATGTCGTCCCAGCAAGACAGCTCTTGAGTGTGTTTGGGTGTGTTTAGGCAACAAAGCCGATGATGAGGGTTGTTGATTGGTGATGCCTATCGATTGCGACTGACAGTATGGTGGGTTGTTTATTACCCAGAGTGGCAAACAGACTTGAATTCGTCCGGCCAACAAGCAGCAGCGCCAAGCCCCCGCCCCTCCACTGCATGTCTCACCGTCCTTTGTTGTCGCAATTGGATGTCAGCGATGCTACTTCCAGAAGCAGTTGCCACGTGTGGCTTGTAAATAATTGGCTGTCGTGTAGATATCTTGCAGGTCAAATGCAAGCGCACACTCACTGCAATTCTGTCCTAACTTCAAGCACAGAGACACTAATGATTCTGGCAGAAAGTTGCGAGCATCAAATCCGAGGGGTTTTGAATTGAAAGTGCATATCTCGGTCTTCACCATATCTCTACATAACACGCTTGCGCTAACCTACGGATACGCTTCTATTTCACTCATAACTGGCCGAGAACTACATGTAGCAGCCTCCACCTCCTGATCTATTCTCTGTAACCTTAACTAAACTCGTATTGAAGATAAAGGCGATGTGAGTAATAGAGTGTCCCTATACGAGGTCATATCAGCCAAAAATCAGTAGGGCCGGCATTTCGATACATCGCTTCAGGCACAAAGGAGGTATCGTCATATATGGGCAATCTCAACCTCGGATACAGGGTGTAACAGCCCATGTCTTACACGACTTATCACATTCAAAAGAGCACAGACTCTACAGCCGAAGTAATGCCACCTGCTTACCTACTCTA